CAGGTCCGGACATACTTCCAGAAAAAAATTCTGCTTGTTGAACTTTCATTTATGAACGAGGACGCACAGCAAGAAGTAAGTTTTCACTTTTAATTCTCTTAAACTCGTTTAATGTTTTTGATTGCAATTACGTTGAATCTACAGGATCTTGTGGCGTAATATCACTACTTAGTTGAAAAAATCTTCAGTCCAAATACAGTAAAGAAATAATAAAATTTAGTATAAAACAAGCTTTGGACTGTGTGGTTTCATGTAAATTACCGAAATAATAAATTGACATTTATAAATTTATTTCATTGTTTGTTAACGTTGAATGCTGATACTTAAATAATTTTTTAAACTATAAACTATAGTCTTTTTTACTCTGCTTGATTGAGTTCTCTGATTAAAGGGACAGTCTGTATATTTAACTAAATTCAACGGAGATATTTTGGAAAGAGATGAATATTTATTTCTGCAAAAAGAATCGTGACTTTTTTATTGCTGTTTCTTTCGTTGATTCGCGTTTACAGAGTCAATAACGCGTATATCAGTGTCTTATTGGCTTTCCCTTAGTTCACGTTGAATAACAAACAATTCGGTTAATTTTATGTGACTATTTCGTTTGACAAATTAGTTTCCCTAAATGATATTTTTAAACATGACGTCGTAACTGTACAATTTCACATTCTATTTTCAAATTCTTTTCGTTAACAATTGATAGAAACTATTGATCCATTAGCTGTTCTTGTCGTTCTTAAGATCTGCGTCACCAATGTTGATTGACTCTAAATATAATACCTGATTCTTAGTATCCATTAGTACAAAGCTTAGTGGCAAACTTTGTATGCTTTGGTAAAAAGTACAGTTTGATTGAGAAATAATTAAGCATTTTCTCTTGGGTTAATAATATGTAGGAAAAAATCATTTCAATGGAGACGCAATCGAAAAAAACATGCAAATATCCAACCGACGTAACTGATAATATTTTGTCCAGATACGAATCGTACTTAAAAAACAAAAATTTCAATTGAGCTGGTTCAAATTTGACTTCTAAGTTATTGGTTAAAAGCGGTGCAGATATATGCTGTTTTGGGAAGTACCTACATATTCAGCTATTAGCCAAAATCCAAATTTAAAAATGTGTATACGTTTTGTCTATTTTTCTACAACTAAATGAAGATGCATTCCTTCAAACTTGAAAACTGGAAAGTTTTGCAGCTAATTTTGCAATACGGATTCAACTGTGTTATATGCATGGGAAGTGTTCGTCAGACTTAACATCATCAAATAAATGCAGCTGATTTTTCCATTTTGAAAATAAATAAAAAACAATAAAATGTACGTAAACATCAAATTTAACGTATTTTTTGTTCGTTTCAAATAGATTTTTTTATCACTCTTAATCAATAGCATTTTTCGAAAACGGTATATGATTCTAAGAGAAGTTAAAAGATCAAAATTAGGATCTATGCTTGACTCACCAAATGATGCACAAAATTTTTTCGAATTCTCACTGCAAATAACCATGCTTACAATTAGAAAATCCAACTAATGTTAATTATACTTAAAAACTTATAATTGAACATTTTTAAAGCGGTAAGTGGAAAGAGCTGTAAATAAGTAAATCCATGCAAAGTACTGATAAACACTTATGAAAACTATCGTTACTTTGGTAAAAAATACAATTTTTAAATTGTACATCCAAGAAAGTTTGGGTTCGTAGTTTTTAAAATTTCAATAGGTGCTTGTGCTTTATTAATTCTGTTGTTTGTGGAGCATTAAATTAACTTTATAATGTATTCGTTTTTTTCTTTGACAAACGTGTTGATGAAACGAAATTTTGAATTTGAAATGTTGTCTTCTTCATAAATTTAAACGCAAATATTTCATGAAACTACTGTAGAAATTACCAATTGCAAGTTATCTTATTAAATGTTTTAAATGTTCTTCAGGCAGATACAATGATACGGCAGTTGCTCAACATTTTCTTGAACATTGCGAAGAATGTCTGATGTAGTTTGTTGTGATTTATAACTGAAAATTACATAACTAAGACTTAACTATAAAATATAAACGTGTTATTGTGTGTTTGCAACTAATTTTCATTTTCTTTTATAGATAAGCATGTTCTTACGAGCAACAGAAATGAATCCTACCGACATGTGTTTGTGTGGTTTTTTCGATGTCAATAGGAATTTGTTTAAATCGGTAAGTCCATTTTCGCTTACTAAAAAATAGGTAAAAGCCCAACTTTATCATCACGAAAATATATTTCTAATGCGAATATCACTGATTTGACCGTGTTTAGATTAGGTATTAACAATTAACTTTAACAATTAATGAAAAATAAAGCTAACTTTGGTTCAGAAAAACGGTTGGGTTAATGTGAGTTAGCAGCAAATTTTGGCCTAAATCGTTTCAAAATTAAATCTTTCAAATCGGAAAAAGCAATTGATATTAAAAGGACAATAAATCAGTCGGCACATACAAAAATCGTTTCCTTGAATAATAAAATACGCATTTAGCAATTGTGTTTTGGCTTTACTAAAATTTGCTCCAAAGGAAAGTTGTAAGGGTTTAGATCTACTTTCCTTTTAAAATAGTTGTATATATTGTTTCCATTGCTGCTGCAGAAGCTTTTTGGATATAGTTTTTGAATATGTATTGAAACATGAATTGTTTTTTGGATATATCATTATTATGAATCCCAAGGATGTATTACCTAACCATTTGATCCTATTTTTTGAACAAGTCCGAAACGAGACGATGAATAACTAAAAGGAAAAATCAAAATTTATTAGGCAATTTCCACATACTTTGGACAATATTATTGAATCATGCATTGAACCATGTTGTATAGAACATATCTGCAGTTAAAACGTCGATTTCATGTGCTGATCTCTCCGTGTTGGTCTCAAATGTAATCTAATAATTGTTTCAGTTATTGGCGACAATGGTAACTTATTTAGTGGTTTTGCTACAATTCCAAATCAGCATACCTTCTTCGGGTGATGACGTAACAAACAACACAACAAATACTACTCCAAGTGCTCCTAAATAAGCGTAATTTTTGCTTTTCTATAAAAATATAATAAGAAAGTTTACACAATATGATATATAAATATTCTATTTTGTTAAAAAACCATTGTATTCAAATACTTTTTGTGGAAAAAGTAATCTGCAATTGAACATTAAGGGTTACTCTTTGAAAAGATCACTATTTCATTCAAGTCAGAAATTCTATTCATGACCCAAATTTAAATAAATGTTTTTTATCCCGAAATTAAACGTTAAAGCAAACACGGTTACGAAACTAGCATGCAAAGAATTAGTTGTTTATTATATGAAACTTAACACATATCGAGATTTGTACCTACTTTCATCAGGAACCTTTGACTGCTCTGATAATGCGGAGTTTCATTGTTTCATTTATGTATATAACTCTAAAGTGGCTATTTTGATCGCACTTTTTTATCTTGAAAGTAGAAAAGTCGGCTATCAGATGCTTAGGAATTATTAGTCCTGGTTAGCAATCAGAGCTGTTTCTTAAATAAAGTGTTTTTGAAAAATTTTATATCGGCTTTTGATTTATAACGATATATAAATATATCGCATAATGTCCTTACATACACAATATCAGGATTTATTTGAATTTTGATATGGTGCTTCACACATTCACAATTTAAGCGATTGTAGAAATCATCTACGAAATAAGCATCCGATTCATTATACATCTAAGACTAAAACTCCTTTATGTATAAATTCATCTTTAAACATAAGATACATTTTATAACACTCACAATGTTTACTTGTAATTTCCTTAGGGCACCGTACTAGAATAATAAATCGAATAGTTTCTTAATTTTTATTAAAAAATAATTGACTAATTTACGCCTAGGATGGCTTAACCCCCCCCCCACATTTTTACAACTAACCACTTGTAAAAAGCATTTTGGAAGTAGATTTGTTGTAAAATATACACATACTTTCAAATAAATCAATTAAAACCGAAATAAAATGAATCAACAGTCAATAATTGTAAAAATTTGGAAGCAGTGATCAACAACATTAAAATATTTAACTTTACGTATGGCATGGGCCATTTTTTTCAATTTATGACCGTAAATAACATCGATGTTTCCCATAATGTCTGAATTTTGGTTTTAAGAGTCCTCAGCAAAACATTCGTTTAGGAAATTTTCCAAAGAATGATACAAATGAGGACGAACGGAACTGAGACTGTGGTCTTCATCAGTATAGCTCTAAAAATAAAAACAATTGTAACCGGTTAGTATTTTTGCAATAGAACGTTGCACTTACGATTTGTCTAAAGAGGATGTCATTCCTCTCAAGCACTTTAGCCCACATCATGGACTGCTGGTAGTGAACATTATCATCGAAAGTTCCATGGATCAAAAAGTAATCTTTATTTTTCAATCCCGCATACTTTTTCAGAAGTTGAGCGTTTTCATAGCCCTCCAAGTTATCGCTTGTTGTTGGCAAACCCATGAAGCGTTCAGTGTAAATAGAATCTGAAAAAAAAAACATATTTCAATATAAGCCTAGAAAATAGTAAGACTGGAATTGTTAGGTGTTCACATATTTTTGCCCGAGTATTCATTCGAATTTAGATGCAAATACCGAGTGTCAATTTGAAAACTTCCCACCCTTAATGTCTTTCTTGCAGTTGAAAATATAATAATAATATATCGGAAAAACGCGAATGAATTAATATTTTTAGCCTCCTTGTTTCAAAATTACAGAAACAATTAARCTTGCCTGCATTGAAATTTTGGTTTTCAGAGTAGTGTTTAAACAAAAATTATGTCATTGGGTCTCCTTATAGTACAAATGATTAGAAGATTCGGTTACAACCGTTAAATTTGTTGATTATCAGGAAGAAAATCTAGTTAAAATAATTGATTTTGGATTTATTGATTATTTTACTTCGAGAAAAATATTTTTGTATTTATGGAAGATAAATTTCTACAATAAAACCCATGGGATCTACTTGCGCACTATCTTATAAGGTGTTCAACATGTTGTCTATTTTCCTGTGAATAATAATAAAGTCTTTTTTCGAACCCTCCGTTGATAGATATTCACGGATAGATCGATTGGCAGAAGGATAAGATTGGATAAGGATTGAACACCCTTAGACTTCTTAAGCCCATTGTTTGTAAAACACAACCTACTGATATTGATGATCTTAAAAGGCGAATTGTAGCAGAATGCCGGCTTCATCACATAATTTTTTTTTAAATAAAATTTTTTAGTAGAAATCGATTTTCAGTGGCATTTTTTAGGAACTTACATCCTGGAAAGGAGGGGCTGTGAATTTTTTTTTATAAGAGCTTCTTGTTCTTTTGACACCCTGTATATGCGCGAATGTTTTTTTCTATGCTCTTGATGATTTTGATCTATATCTACGGTTTTAATTTTATTTTGTAACAACTCTTCCTCGATTTACCTAAATATTTGCCTTTAGTGGTTTATTAAAATAACAGTCCAATTTCAGGTAGACTGAAGCTGCAAATTACTTGAAGGCTATTTATTGGCTTGGTCTATCGCTATTTGACCATCTTTTTATTTAGTATTGCTGATTGCCACCAATAGTTTGTGAGATTAAGAACAGTTTTTGTCACATTTTTGAGCAAAAGTTAATAAGTTTTTCAAAGTTTGATCTCTTTTTCGTGTATGGGAATGATTATGATAGTTTTAATTTGCTTTGCGATTATTAGATTAGTCTACATCTACTGCTAAACACGTTAAAAATTTTGAATATTATTATTGTATATTACACTATTTCTCAACAAATTGGCTACATTGCACTGCGATTGGTGATCGGACCAGAGACCAGAGATTGGACTACCTTTTTTTCGTTTCTCGTTTCCTAAAGCGCGTCGTAATATCCTCTTGGCTGAAGACCACTTAAAAAGTTCAAAAAGCCCAAATTACCACAGTAATAAAATTAAGTTTTCCGTCGCTTTAATGCTGCGAGCAGCGATGCCAAATCATGAGCTGGGCTGAATATGGATCTGCAATTTAGGGATTTTTTAAAACTATATTGAATCTTGAATCGGCCATATACCTATTATAAGTATACATATGGGATCGGCCATTTGAGTAGACTTGAAGTGAAGCATTCACAAATTATCGCATATTTTGGCAATGGTTTACTTTGATTTTGGTGGATCTGCAAAAAATTGTGCAGCCTCTCACAATAGACCGACGAAAAAGGTTTTCACGTTTCATGACAATTGAGTAAATTGATCGGAGAGGCAGTATTTAATTTAGCATTCAAAAGTCGCCCTATGAACGGCGATGTTTGTTTATCTTTACCCGAAAAAGCAACTTTGTTTACGCTAAATATCCGAACCAGTTCGATCGCCGACTAGAAATTTGCAGAAAATCGTCAATAAGAAAAAAACTGAAATCGAACAGCATAGCCACCCAAAGGGCCAGCGAGCAAACGATTATGTGATTTCTGTAGCTCGGTGCGTTTTTTATGTTATAAACACCTTCATTTGGCATGATTTATCGGAAAGCTCTACAGGATAAAAGTACCAATTTAGTGCTATTTAGGCACGAACGGTCGACCATCTCATCTGTTAATTGCTGAGTGTAATCGACATTTATTTTCAACTTTGTGTGTATTCTCATTGTGTGTTTGTCTAGTGTGTGCTTTTTGATGTTTAATGGATAGACAATGGAAAATCGGGCGCCAGTTTGCAAAAAGCAGGTAAGCAGGATTATTAATTTATAAATCCTTAACTTAATTGAGTTTAGTTTGTCGAGAAATAATTAAAATTTCAGTTCTCCAATTCGGTTTCTTTCCAATCAGATAACTGGGTTTTAGATCAAATTTATGTAATACTACAGGTTTTTTCTTTCTTTTCAGGTGGTACAATGCAGCTTT